GTGTGTGTGTGTGTGTGTGTGTGTGTGTGTGTGTGTGTGTGTGTGTGTGTGTGCAGTGTTTGGACACACTTTTTGTGTCAGTCTGCAAAGCTCATTCAGCTGAGCGTAAAAAGTTTCAGAGTCTTTGGAAAGTCACGTCACATAAATGGAATCTGGGCTTATGGTACAGTATAACCAAGATTTTCCAGGGGTGTAAAGAGGCTTATAGGTTGCTTGTAATGTCACCAGAAGGGTTTGCTGTGCTAAGAAAAAAAAAGAAAAAGAAAAAAAAAGAGAAAGATRTTGAAGACTCTCATGAATGCACAGCAAGCTTTGAAAAGGAAAATAAAAGAACTATTCTGAAGTCATTGGCAAATATGAGATTTTCTAAACATTTCAGCCAAATCTAAGCACATGTGAAAAAAAACAAAAAAACAATGAGGTGTACTGAATAGCAGTGACTCGCATGACTTTTCTTGGTCAGAGAGAGCGGCCATATTGTTCAGGGCAAGGWCAAGCTGTTGAAGCTGAATGTGGTAACCATGATATGTTAAATTTAGGTCAATGAAACTCAGTTTGGTATGGACAACCATTATTTTGATTTGATAGAAATGTTTGTCAGTGTATTTTATCACAGTAGGTAAAAAACGTTGCCAAGGTACACATCTATAGTGAATGACCATCCTCATTATCTTTTACCCGCTTCTTTCCTTTCAGGGTCACTGGTGCCCATTTCCAGCAGTCACAGTGCGAGGGGCGGGGTATACCCTGGACAAGTCACAAGTCCATCACAGGGACACATAGAGACAAACGAGACAAGCAACCATTCACTCACTCATACCTATACCTGGAGGCAATTTAGAGTTAACAATCCTGTTTTTGGTYTGAAACCTGGAAAACCCACAAATGCACGGCGAGAACATGCAAACTCTAAAGAGAAAGGTCCCCGGCCAGGATTCAGTCCAGCAGCTTTCTTTCTTAAGAGAMAACAACTCTACCAACTGAGCCACCGCGCCGCCACATGCTAACCAATGAAAAACTAATATTTATCTGAAATTCTACGCAGAAATCTATCCACAATAAATKATTTACTTTACAACCCGCCCCTTCCAATATGGCATCACGCTCGTACCACACAGAGTTGTAGAGCAACAAAGTAAAAATACTTTGTCATGTTATTTAAGTAAAGATTTTKGTTATTTATAAAACTATACACATACTTTAGCATGTTTTCAGGTTTGTATTATCTGACTGTGGCCATTTCTTTGATATTTTTAACCGTCTTTTAACCGTTAATATATCAGAAATATCACGTTTTTAAAGGGATTTTTGACCACTGAGCAGAAAGTTTTGGTTTAAATTGGCCTTGAGTTGATTTTCTATCAGGAGACGTSGTTAAAGAAGTGTGAGGAGAATAAAAAGGATTTGACTTTGTTTGTGTAGGAAGTGTCTGGTAAAAAAAGAAGATAAAAAAAGCAAATGTTTGAACATGAATAATGACTTTCAGGAGCACACAGGAATGAGCCCCAATAAACACAAACACGGACCAAATTAATTGTGAGTTCTGGCGAGAATCTTTAATCATTTAAGTATGTTTAATGACACTGATGTCCTTGTAGTGTCCCTCATCAAGTTGGTGTGTTGATCAAGTGGTTCTATTTTTCTGAAACAACTCAAAAGAAGCACTTTTTTCTTTGTCCTCCTGCACACGGTGACAAAAACAGAACTAGCTCTAAAGTTAATGAGGCCACACGGCTGAGAAGAAAAAAGAAAGCTAAGAGGTGTTTATTTACGAATCAAAGACTGAAAATGGTAGAAACGGCAGAGTTTAAGCTGTCAGAAAGACTTCAGTGGAAATCTTTAATCCTCAGAGGAGATGCTGTGTACCTGTTTTTTTTACTGTTATTATTATTTTTGTACCAGTACCAATAAAATTAGAACGTTAAAACCATTTGCAGCAACAAACTATCAACAAACAAAAGTTTTCAAATTTGCAGCAACCAATTTTCCTTTTCCTTTCTCTCCTGTCTTGTCTCAGTATCGTATCAGGTGAAGCAGGGMACGTGTGAGGTGGTGGCGGTCCATCGCTGCTGCAATAAGAACAAGATCGAAGAACGCTCTCAAACYGTCAAGTGTTCCTGTTTCCCAGGTCAGGTCGCTGGGACCACCAGAGCCAGACCCTCCTGTGTAGAAGGTAAACAGCCTTGTGTTAATGTTTATGTCAGGATAAGATGCTTTTATTGTCAATGTATAGTAATTACAAACATAAATAACACAATGCAGTATTTAAAAAAAAACTTGACATATACTCAAAAACAGATGTGTTGGATTTATTTCATTTATTCACATTTACTCAGCCCAGTTGAGTGGAACCAGTTGACATAATCTGGTTTAATAATTGAATGTAATATTAACTACAGCCATCAAGGCAGGTAGAAGATGGCTAATACTCATACTGTATACTGTAACAGAAGCTAAAAATGGCTAAATTATACTAGTTATTACAAGGTAGGGAAAGTACACTCAAAARCAGATTGTTGGATTTACTTAACCAAATTRTGTCACTGGTTTCACTCAACTAAGTTTAGTWAATGTAAAGCAACTTTACCATTTATTTTAAAGAAAATGTGAAAACRTCTTTACCCTTACTCAGTTCAGTTGAGTGAAATTTGTTGACATAACTTGATTAAATAAATCCAACACATTCATTAAAGAAAAGATGGAAAACTACAGAGAAATGCACAAAGAAAAAAAAACTGCAAGAATAAACTAAGAAACTAAAAGTAGGTCTATGGCATGACCTTTTGAGCAATAATTAATTCAGGAGACGAACAGCAAACAACAAGACCTGAACAGAAATAAAAGCACAGTAGATCACGATAGGAAAAATATTCATGAAGGGAAACACAACAATACACTGAAAATAGACATCAAGGAAAGAACTAATATGACAGAAACTATGAAGCATGATTTACTCACAAGCRCAGGAGGTAGAGTACCCAATAATTGTAAAAACAGCACAACTTCAGCATATTTTTCTCAAGTAAAAGTAAGAATTATTCCTCCAAGAAATTACTCAAGAGTAAAAAATAGTTGATAAAAAAGCTACCCAAGTACTGACTTACCAGAACATCTGATTTAATATTTAAAAATGATCAGACAGATAAAAAGTATAAAATTATGTTCTAGTTTGGTACTTTAAAGATTAAAATGAAAATATATATACATACTAACAAATATCATAATTACAAAATAACAAATTAAGGCAAAATAAGCACTTTTACAAAAGTGTTTTAAAATATAAAGTATATTAAACTAACCAGAAGGCAATGTGTATGTATGTACATAGTAAAATACATCCAGTGACAACTCATAGTATTTACTTTATCTGGAACTCTGAGTGTTTACAAATTGCATGTGATCTTTAAGAACCTTGTCATGCATCACTTTAAAGAATTCTACCATTACTATTTGTGATTGACAGATGGTGCCTTATAAAAAACAAATCTCTTATATTGTAAATTAAATAATTTCTACGAACAATTTAGCAAAAAATTAGCGAACAGCTAAATAATAAAATATAGCTGCAGGAAAAAAATGTTAGTCTTCCTAACAAAATTTGCTGCAGCCTCGTCCCTTGCTCTCTAACTTAAATCCTGATCATTTGCAGTTAAAGAAATGAACCTATCTGGCACAGGCAAATACACCATTAGCCATCTTCCATGGGCAACAAAATTTAGACCCAAATAAAACAGTGAAGTTGTAATCAGAAATTTATCATTTAGGAAAAAGTGAGAAAAACTATCATGATGTTAATGATTGACCTGTTAGGTAGTAAAAAAGTACTTCAATCACTCCAAACTTGTCTGTGAGCTGAACAGTGAGCAGAAACAGCTGCTGCTGCTGAAACCAACACGTCGTTTCCTTTTATGTTTGTGCTGAAATACTGTACAGACCAGAGCAGGCACTTTGCTGCTCACTCATACAGAGCAAACATATACATGTGTAACCATGTCTGTGTTTGCTGATGCGAGCCATGTGTGTGTGTGTGTGTGTGTGTGTGTGTGTGTGTGTGTG